CAAAACTGCACCAATCAAATTGACCCCGAACATGGGCTTCTGCAGCTGGGCCAACCGCATGGATTTCAGTCACGGCCTGCGACAATTTCAACTTTTCTTGATCCCTGCGGGCGTTCACTTGCCACCATGTACACAGTTCTTCGTCTGCGTACAACGTCAGTGAGACCGGGTGGAGAAACAAGGGAATGAACTTTGTCAACTCAGACAGTCGCAGGCTGCTCCACAAGGAGGTCATCCTTGAAGATTCAACATAATCAGACTATACAATTATTTGTTTTGCAGTCTTGTTAGGAATTCAAAACAACAAAGAGAAAATAAATAAAATTCAATAATAATTATCAATGTCCTACGTTGCGACTTGTACTCACCCCTGTACGAGTACGAGTTGTACTCATTTCTCGTAAGCTACTTGTACTCAAGGCCCCGTACGACTTTTTTAATTTTGTTTTACTGTTTTCATTTTTTTTCTCCAAGTCTAATAGGAATCTGCAAATGGTGCTCAAGCAAATGTTGCTTGTTTTGGGATGTTACAACACATTTTTTTTTTTCGGATTCTTTTGATGACGTATGGGGGCGTATGAGTTCCCGTACAGATATTACCTGTACGTTTCGTAAGGAAAGGCCCCGTACATGTACGTTCAGTAACGTAGTCAATGTCTTAATCTATTATTCTTTTTGATGTTGTTTACAGTATGTGTGGGTTCCTTCTAGCCGTGTGATCAGGAATCATCAACAGACAGGCCACAGACCAAACAACATCAGAAACCACACAGGTAAGTCTACGTCAGCATCAATCAACACATCAACGAGGTACGTCCAGATCAGGGTCAATCAAATGTCTGGCTCATATCAACACTCAACGGGACACATCATCCTGTTGTTCTTCTGGTTTCTTCTCAGCTTATCTTCAACAACCACAACATTTCTCTCTTCAGCATGCTACGTAGGCAACGCTATCGTCGATATGCCACGTGGACAATGCTCTCGCCAGTATACCAAGTAGGCAATGCTCTCGCCAATATACGGCGTAGGCAATGCTCTCGTCAATATATGCCACATAGGCAGTGCTATTGCGAGTATGCCACATAGGCAATTCTCTCATCAATATGCCGCGTAGGCAATGCTATCGCGAGTATGCAACGTCAGCACTTGGTTGTTTTCTTCAGCGCTCTTCAATCGGTGTCACTTCTACTGACGATTTATTCCCTCGTGGGAACCAACCAGTCAGTGTCACGTCAGCGCAGGCCTATGAAGAGATTCACTCTGCTTTTGCTGCATCAGCACCCCCTTCAGAGAGAGACTAGTTTGGCGATTTATTCCCTTGCCGGAACCAGGCAACAAGTGTCACATGGACACAAGCACATGGTTATAACTTATAACCACTCCGCACGTGTCACGTCAACACCCTATCAGAGAGATATCTTCAACTTCTATCCCGCGGTCGTCTTCAATCGAGCAGCAATTTGGCAAGATAAGGTGAGTTTGCTCCGATACCTGATTGTAATGAACCCAGTCTCCTCATCCAATCATGTCGCAGATAACAATTTGGTGCAATGCCATGAGCTAATCAATCCAATAATTCCATCAGTTCAAACTTCAAAGTCACTGCAGTACAAGTTTCCTCATTACCACAAGTTTCTCTCAGGTCCACAGTACCCAAAAAAGAGAGGAGGTAAGAATAGACAGTTGGAAGGAGAAATACGAGTCCCTCTTCTCCTTCAAATTTGCCCACCTCTGCCACATTAGCAACATGCACTCAATGTGCCACGCCAGTAGTATGCACTCGATGTGCCACATCAGCAATATGCACTTAATGTGCCACGCCAGGAGTATGCACTCGATGTGCCACATCAGCAATATGCACTCAATGTGCCATGCCAACAATACGCACTCAATGTGCCAAGTCAGCAATATCCACTTCAATGTGCCACGTCGGCACTCCATGTAACACGTGGACGATGTGGAAGCAGCTTCTCGCAGCTAAACGATCCTCCAACAGCGGGCAGAATCGAAACATCTGAAGAAACAAGGTACGTACGCACGACGACTCACATCACCCACACACTCTCTCTCTCCTGTCCTCATTCCCTCGCCGGCATCTATGGTCGCGGTCTTGGCCGCCCTCTCCCGATCTCACTACTACTATGATATCTGGCTGGCGCCCATCCAGTAGTCTGGCGCCAGCATCTCCTCTTCAATCTCGCGCACAGCGTCATTGCCGCAAGCAATTTGCAAGACTGAATGCTCGAGCAGTGGCGAGGTCAACCTTTTGTAGCGTTGACTCACGCTGTTCAGGGTCAGCATCGGTCCATGCGAGGGCCTGAATCATCCGACCATTCCCGGTTTCGGTCTGGACTCCTCTAGGCTGGAATCTTCCAAAACCTGCAGACAACTGTTAGATCGTTCCAGATCAACGGCCAGGAATTTTTTGTTGTTGAGCCTAGGTCGACAAGTTGACTGTTGACTTTTCGGTCGACTGTCGGCCTGGATCCTTTTCAAGGCCTCTTTGGGGCCTCTTTTCAAGGCCTGCCCGTTTGTACCTGTTTGTGGGCGCGCCGGGAGCCCAGCAGGTCAATTTGGCACAGAGTTACAACATAAGTCAGAATAGAGGTAGATATCATCTCGCCCATTCGCTGGTTCAGTGCTACCAGGTCTAGGCTGATCAAGGTAGACTCCCTGCAGTGGCGGATAGAGAGGGCATTGCTGTCTGCCGACTAACTTTTGGCTGATCTACCGCACCGACCTGGAACAGCGAGCGGGCAATGGCACTCCCATGGTGCAAGTCATGCCTGAGCAACTTTCCCATCCGCAAAATCCCAGAGACTACAAGTTAAGCCAGTGCGGCTCTGCCCGCACACATGGAAATATCACTGAGATATCCTGGCTCCATACATCCATCCATCTACAAATCTGATGGTGTTCAAGTCTCTCTCTGTGTCCCCCCCCCCCCCCYCCTCTCTCTCTCCCACACACACACGCATATACCCACGTGTGCGTAGGGTGAACATAGTTCTCCTGTAAACAACCAATTACTCACAGATGCAGAAAGCAGCAAGAAGATACAGCATACCCGACACCCAATTGCTGACAGATAAGAACAGTTTTTTTCACAGCAGGCCACAACGTCACAGATATGGCAAAAAGAGTTTCAACTCCCAATACAGAAAAAGGAAAAAAAATGAAACCTCCTTCCCTCCCCCAAATCTCTCTCTCTCTCTCTCTCTCTCTCTCTCTCTCTCTCTCTCTCTCTCTCTCTCTCTCTCTCTCTCTCTCTCTTTTCTTATCAATGAACCTTTCCTGATGCAAGGATGAATCTTTCTCGCTTTTGAACAAAGCTGGGCCGGCAACCGGCCAGTTCACCTCCCCACCTGGATCCGGACCAGCCCAGCGGGGCTGAATCGGAGAACCGGTTTTCAAAAAAAATGCAGAGGTTTTTCTTTTTCTTTTTTTTTTTGTCGGCGGATTCGGACTGCGCTCTTCAAGATCTGTCCAAATCCGCAAAAAAATTTGGAAGGTGCGAATTTTTTTTGGAGGGGGTTCCCAAGAGGGGGGAGGGCCTACTATCGGGTGGGGCCAGGGAGTATGAGGTTGGCCTTTACGTGGAGGGGTCGAGTAAATTGATTTACTTGACCCCTCCGTGGCCTTTCAAATTTCAATTCGACCATATACCTCTTTATTGGTTTATGCCATCTGGCATTGGTATTCTAGAGGCCGAACGACATATGCCGTTGGGAGGTGCTTGCCCAAAGTTATAGCTCTTCGGGATACCGAGCTCTAAACTGGAAAAGTTATGGGTTGAGGTTTCAGCTCGTGCAGGCAGAGAGCTTCCTTTTGTGTTTCCCTTATATGGTGAGTCGTCAGTCCGCTTTCCTTTTGTTTTTCCTTTATACAGTGGGTCATCAGTCCGAAAGTATTTCGCCTCGTGCGCTGTCCAGATACATGTAGTGGAGCAAGGTTCATTCTTGGGCTTGCACCTCGGACTGCTACTCTGATTTTACGAGCAGAAACCACAACCCATAACTTTTTCCCCACAGAATAGGGATATCTGAGAAGCATATAAACACAGCAAAGCCTGGGCTAAATCATGCTGTTCCCATCCTCCTCTCCATTTCGGTCGAGGATGAACACCTGCCTACTGTAGCGGGTTTGTGGTCTCTTAGATGCAGTATCAATCTGAAACTAGTAAAATCCATATAGAAACAGGACCCCGTGTTTTGACGAAAACACGTGGAAGTGGGGTTCAAAAGGCCCTGTTTGTTTTTTCGAAGAGGACACTAGCCTCCCAAGGGCTCCGCAAATGCAGTAACGCCCGTCGATCCCCAGTACCCTCCCCCCCCCAGCATGATGCGCTGGACTCGACCGGGGGCCTGCCGGGCCAGTCGACCAGCCGGTCCGGCCGGCAGGCTCGCGATTGGGGGAAGGGAGCCCGGTCCAACCGGGGACCAGCACTGCTTTTGAAAGATTTAAAGTTTACACACGTCTGGACTGTCAGTTGCCTCAAATACAGCTATAAAAATCACCGGGGGTTCTATTCGGGTGAGGACAGTAGTAGTTATGAGACCAGCAAAACCAGGGAGCCATCTCTGTGGCTGCGGTGATTGCCTTGCCATTTCCGTTAAACGGACATTTCATATTTTTTGAACGGTTGGCCCCAAAAAGTGTGTCAATTTTTTAGCTCCCAAGAGTCCGGTGTTCTGAAAACGCCAGACCCCCTCAGTGTGTCTGGATTTCCACCAAGTCCACATACAGCCAGGGGGGTCCGGCACATTCGGAAAACGCCAGACCCCCTGCATGTATCTGGATTTCCGCCGAGTCCAGATACATCCAGAGGGGTCTGCCATTTTCAGAACACCGGACCGTCAGGAGCTAAACATTTGACACTTCTTTTGGCCGAATAAGTCCGTTTCAAGTTCGTTCAAAAAATGATAAAACGTCCATTTTAATGAAATCGCTGAAGAGGCGTTTTCCTCGTCACCGGAATACACCATTGTCCACTCTTGTGCTGCTGTGCTCCTTGATTTGTCATTTCTGCTATTCGCCTTGTTGCCATGTTGTGACTGCTGATCACGACGACAGTTCGTTGTACTTGCAAATCCCCCTTCTCCAGTGCCGTTTCCTTGCTGCGCATTAGATCACTACTCAAACCCACACTCCCTTGTAGATGAGGCAGGGCAACATCCGCAGAACAACATCAGGTGCACTGACCGCTCAGCTAGCTAAGCTGGCGTATAATATAAGCTGCTGACAACACGCAAGAGCATCATTTCAGCTCTCGACAGCCGAGATGCAAATCTTGGACTTGTGAAAAGCGAACCTGGTCGAAGAGGCAATCAGCGGTTCTGAGTCCCCACGGCAACTGCCGTACTGCATCAACACAAAAACGAGTTCAATTAATATCCTGCTTCATTCTGAAGCAGCAGACACTGGTTGAATGTGGAAACACGCGCCATCTCTGCTCTGCTTCCTCCAAGCGTGTGCCCCTCGTCGACTTCCATCTGCATGTTTTGTGAAAACATCCTTTTTAACTAATGGCATAAGGAGTCACAAAGTGACACAAACACAAACATATACTGTTGCAGCAAGTGCTGCCTGTGCAATCCACCTCAGCATGTCACCCCTTTCTATTCCAGGGAATCCAGGCTCGACGGTCTTCAGTGCAAACTCACACTAGGAACCTTCTCAACAAAATCTGGCCACAATTGTGTTTCAAATTTCAATACATCCAGGAGAAGACTCTCTCCTTGTATGTGCCCTTACTCGCTAGCTCTACATGTAACTCCCAAAACTGGAGGCTCTCTCTCTCTCTCTCTCTCTCTCTCTCTCTCTCTCTCTCTCTCTCTCTCTCTCTCTCTCTCTCTCTCTCTCTCTCTGTGTCTCTGTGATGAGGCTGGTGAGAATAGCAAAACTGACTATTTTGTCTCTTTGATCTCATGTCTATCGCGTTTCTTCTTCTTCGCTTTCTTGCCAATCACCTCGCCATCGGGAGGTGCTTGCACAAACTTCAACGGAGCTCCCTGCTTAAGTGCAAGGGCTGCCGCGTTCTTCTCATTTCTTTCATTGATAAATTGTGAAAGCTCCTGCAATCACAGCAACAACACACACCAATCAACGTCAGCGTTTTGCACTAGTATTCGCCTTCATTTGTATTCCTATTCGCACTAGTGTTTCGATATTCCAACATTCATATTCCTATTCTGATACTCATGGCCGGCAAAATCTCAAGTCTCAACCAATCAATTTGCCTACCTTCTCAGAAAGAAAGTCAACATTAGAGTTCTTCTGACTTCTTCGTGACATCCGTTAAAATTGGAAAAATACAGAAGATTAGCATGGGCCCTTCGTAAGAGAATGTCACGCATAAATCGAGAAAGGGGGCGGGGGAGGGGGCGAAAAGAGAGGGAGAGAGAGAGAGAGAGAGAGAGAGAGAGAGAGAGAGAGAGAGAGAACATTGCAAGTGAACAAATCCAACAACGAAGTCGTATTTGTTAACCCGTTATTGAACATAGTCGACCAGCGCATCTCTCTCTCTCTCTGAAGGGCCCTCGACGAAGCACTCCGGTCATGGTCACCATGCCAACCTGCTGGGACTAGTACACGCATGTTTTGTCGCAAGTCCTTGTTTCTGCTTGCTGCACTGATAGAGGTCGTGCTGGGCATGCCAGCCCTATAAAGGACGCATACCAGACCGTCTATAAATATTTCTGGCGGATTCAAATTGAATCCTGGCTGTGATCATCGTCCTGTCTGCGGCGTGAAATAATTCCTGAGGACCTTGGGGGCTGTCCTTAAACTGCCTCTTGATCAGCCAAATCAATAGGATGTAAGGCTCGTTGCATGCGAGGATAAAGAAAATGCAGGGCTGGCAGGCTTAGCATAGGCTTGGGGCACAGGAGTGGGCTGGATTGCACACCTTTAGACACGCTGCTCAACCAGATGCTCAGGACGTCGACACAAGTGACTACTCAAGAAGGATAAAGGGGGAAGGGAAGATTCCCGCAAACTGTTCGCCGCTGAAATAATTAGATAATTTGCCATCCAGCATGCATCTCCACAGGTGACTTCATTTTATTTGATTATTTAGTTGCTACGGACTTGGTTACAACTAACAGACAAATGCAGATAGAAAATAGTTCATTTCCTCCTGCATTGCATTCTGTTTCAGAATATTCTAAAAATCTAGGCTACCAGCCGGGCCGCCCGGGTCCCGGGTGGCCAGCCCATGCAAGGACCAGCGAAGGTCCAAGCAAAAAACAAAAAAACTCAAAAAAATCCGAAAAAAAACTATGTTATGCCGAAAAATAAATCGAAAACTTTTGCCTCCGGGCCACATCGAAATTCTTCACCAAATTTTAAATACAAAATAAAACTAAAGATTTTTTTTTTCTTTTCTTTTTTTTTTGGCCCGGCCGGGCAAGTGACCCCGGGCCACTCTGGTAGCCTAGCTAAAAATAGAAATAGAGTTACCTTTCTGGATTTGACATCAGTTGCTGATCACCGCTTGACTATTAGTGTGGATTCTAGTTTCGATCACACATCACTGTAGCTCATGAGTGAAGAAGAAAGCAGTGAGGAGGATGGACGATTAGTGGACTTTACAGTTACTCGCAGAACTGCACTCAGTCGACCGATCACTTTGCTAGAGTCAGATCAAGGAGAGGAAAGGAGGCTATGGAGGGAAGCCAGAGAGAGGACGGCATTACAGAGGGCTAGGGAAGAAGCAGCCAACGCCGAAAGGGCACTAGCAGCAGCACTAGAAGCAGACGCTAGAGCTCATGCCGAGGCAGCTATGGCTACCACCTCTACCATGTCACAGGCCTCATCTCAGGCCTCTTCGTCAGGTGTCAGTCAGGGTGTCTCCCAAGTTTCCATTAGTCAGTCTGTTGGGTTGCAAGTCAGCCAACAGCCTCAACTCACGCCGGAGGATTATGAGATCCTACAAACGAATGCTCTTCATGACGAGTTACAGCAGCAGTTGAGGGACGTAGACGAGAGAAGACAGAGGGCTAGAATGAGAAAAGCCAGACTAGGAGCTAGGAGGCAGGAGTTAGGAGAGTTAGAACCACTAGATGAGTCAATATTGGATCCTGCGGTCAAGTCACTACGACGCTCACTGCTTTGCGTGGCTGGAGCCGTTGGCCGAGCTAGTGGCCGGCCAGAACCGCATTCTGGCAGCGCTACAGGCTCCTCGCCCTGTGATGAGGCAGCCGCAGTACTCTGTAGCTCCCCCTACAGTTGCAAGTCCCTCAGTGACGCTGTGGCAGGCAGGGCCTTCTTTCTCCCCTATGTGGTATGCCTTTTTCAAGTGGTTCAGCAGCAGGTAGTGGTCAGATCCTTAGGACTTCTACCCTTCCATCATGACGGCTGCAGTTACAATCCAGCCGTCAGGACAGCCTTAGGTTAGCGTGCCACTATCTGTTCCATTGGTTACGCAGCCACTGCAGCAGACACCTGCTGCAATCCAACCCATGCAGTGGATGCCCACGATCCCCTTGCTAAGTCTTAAACCCTTCACTTGGGTGAGGACTATGCCTACTTATGTGAGGCACAAGCTCACAAGGCCAGAAGAGGAATTTATAGTCGCTGCATCTTTTGTGGAAGGTTCTGCAGCACGATGGATAAATGATTTAGTGCAGCAACTGGGATTCGGTCAGGCCCGGACATTGGAAGACTACGTACGTACTATGTATGATAGGTGGCATGACCCTCAAGGGGCTCAGAAGGCCACTGCCTCATTAGCTAATCTTGGTTCAAAACGGTACCGGGCAGTTCATGAGGTCACAAACACCGTAGAACGTCTGATCGTGGTACCTGGCGTGCATTATGATCCGCAGGTACTCCTCACAACCTATCTGCGATGTCTGCCCACAGACGTCAAGAATAAGTTGGTGGACGAGGCCACCATCGATGTACATAATTTCGCGACTCTCAGCAAGAAGGCCTTAGACATAGAGGCCAAACTAGGGACCAGTAGATGGTAGGAAGAAGAAGCTTCTCCAAGATTGGAGGATGAAGGGCAATCTTATGTCGTTGCCCACGATGGTCAGACGATTGAGATTGACGACTTTCCGGATTTTGGGATAGACGCAGAGCAAGATGGGGCTAGTGAGACTTCGGATGGGGGAGTCGTGACACCTATCAAGGAAAAGGCTAAGGGGACCGGGAAACAGAAGGTAGGCCGGTCTAAGGGTGAAGACGACCAAGGGACACTAGTTCGGGTGCGACTTGCTTTAGACTACAAGGTGTGGAGAGACCGAGTTGCTAGGGGCACGTGTCTCAACTGTGGCAACTTTGGCCACATGTCTAGAACCTGCAAAAGCAAAAGGTCACACCGAAGGTAACTTCACCTATGGTGGTTAGTTTGCCCTCGCACTCCACTGGTGCTCTTCGAAGGGAAACACCTCAGGCCAGTAGGAGTGTTAGACGCTTTTACTCGTGCTGAAGTGGTAACGTTGCCTTCCCCACTTCAGGCGTTGGCCAAGGCTATAGATGCTCTTACTCGTGCTGAAGTGGTAACGTTGCCTTCCCCACTTCAGGTGTTCGCCAAGGCTATTGACCCACTAGTCGCCCCGCAGACACATGTACACCAATTGATGCTTTGTTCGAGGGATGTGTTTGAGTCCTTAGAAAAGTTAGAAGCTAAGTGGTCAGGGAAGGACCCCAGAGACACTCCCTGACCCTAGAGACACTTGGGCGATGATTAGCAGAGGTCCTAAAGGTGAACATTTTGTGGTAGAGGTTGATATAGGTGGCCGCAAAGTGGGCGCCTTCGCAGACATAGGCTCTACACGGAATTTCATCAGTCGTGCTTGTGTGGAGAGGTTGCGCTGAGGGGACCAAGTGCAACGGCTAAACAGATCTGTGGCATCCACGTTAGCCAACAAGCACAGGATGGTTGTCCAAGACTATGTCAAGGGCATAGCCTGCACCTTCTCCTATGGAGGAGGGGAACTGAGACACAAGATCTCGTTCCTTGTGAGCGACAAGCTGCCATTCGACATGCTGCTAGGTATGTACTACCTCGAGGTCGCAAAGCCAGAATTCGATTGGGATAGGAAGGTGATGGTTAACAAGTTGCCAAACGGAAGGACCGTTAGACTACAAAAGTACAAAGCTAGCAAGCTAGCAGAGAACTATGGCTGCATGTGAGCTGCATCTTTTTATAACTATTATAAGCAGAACCGCGAGGAAGGGATGTATCTAGTCTGTCTCTGAGAAAGGGGAGGCCGTAAAACACCCCCAAAGATAGAAGCAGTCGTTGTAGTCGTCCAAACCTTTTTTAGGAGCCTCGGGGTGTGGTAGAAAGAGAGGTGGTCCATGCGTTAGAAATCGTCCCCAGTAGTCAGGTACCTAAAGGATGGATCTATAGAATCATTAGAATGTCTCCTGCGGAGTTGGAGGAGCTCCGCCACCAGCTCACGGAGCTCACAAAGAAGGGCTAGATTCGACCAAGTGCGTCCCCCTATGGAGTTCTCTTTGTCCATAAGAAAGGGGGGACCCTAAGGATGTGCATCGATTATTGAGGCCTCAATGCCATCACAGTTAAAAACGCAGAGCCTCTACCCCACATCGATGACCTCCTGGATAGAGTGCAATGATGTCGGTACTTTACGAAGATAGATCTAAAGTCCGGATACTATCAGATTGCCATCAGGCCTAAGGATCAGCACAAAACCACCTTTCACACCAGGTATGGTCTGTACGAGTTTGTGGTGATGCCCTTTGGTCTATACAATGCTCTTGGTACATTTCGGTGCGCAATGAATCGGATTTCTCATGACTACTTAGATAAGTTTACCGTCGTGTACCTCGACGATATTCTGATCTTTAGTAGGACAGTAGAGGAGCACGCTGAGCACTTGAAAATAGTGCTAGGTCTCCTAAAACAGCACCAGTATAAGATAAACTTGGAGCGAATTTGGTCGCCCCAAGATCTTATGTCTGGGTCATGTGATCTACGTGGACGACTTGCGGCCAGACGATGCCAAAGTGGCCAGCATACATGATTGGCCCAGACCTCGAACAATTACTGAGGTCAGGTCATTTTTGGGAATGTCGAGCTACCGTCATATGTTTGTAAAGAACTATGGTACTATAGCTTCCCCACTAACAAACCTAACCCGCCTTGACACCCCTTGGGAGTGGACCGAAGAGTGTGGGGTAGCCTTCAAGAGACTGAAGTATGCCCTGACACACTACAAAGTCCTCAAACTTCCGGATCTAGAACAGCCCTTTGTTGTGACCACAGACACCAGCCAATATGACATAGGCACGGTCCTTGCGCAAACGGAGGGGGAAAAGTTGAGGCCAATCCAGTACATGAGCAAGAAGATGTCTTTGGAGAAAGCGAATTTGGCCGCACCAAGATCTTATATCTGGTCATGTGGTCTCCACAGACGGCTTGAGGCTAGACGATGCCAAAGTGGTCAGCATACATGACTGGCCCAGACCTCAGACTGTTACTGAGGTCAGGTCGTTTTGGGGAATGACGGGCTACTATCGTCCGTTTGTGAAGAACTACAGTACTATAGCTTCCCCACTAACGAACCTAACCCCCCTTCACACCCCTTGGGAGTGGACCGAAGACTGTGAGGCAGCCTTCAAGAGATTTCGCTTCACCGGTGAACTGTGGCAGAGTACAGCCCAACAGATGGGCACCCAACTGCAGATGACATCAGGGAATCACCTTGAAGCCGAACAGATGAACTGGGTAGTACAGCATTTACTACGGCATTATATCAAACCTTGCCAAGATGATTGGGATGAGAGGCTGCCTATTGTCGCCGGTCTCTATAACAACGCTGTCCATAGTACTACCGGACTTACCGCCAATCAGTTGCACCTTGGTTGGAAACCCAAATCTGCTCTGGATTTCCTATTGCCTGAGAATCAGCCGACTGCAGCACCAGGAAGTTGCAATCAAACTCGTCTTCTTCACACTTGTCATGCATGCAAACAGCAAAACAGCAAACTGGCAACATGCGCCCACACAGTACTCAAAGATATCGTAACCAGGTAAGAGTTCTCTTTAAACTGGCTATGGCGACTAAGCGCCCACACAACTCACTGTTC